ACCGAGCGGCATGGCCTAGAGGTCTAGACCATTGCTTAGCATTCGGGAGGACGCCGGTTCGATTCCGGGTCCGTCTGCCTTGGTCCAAGTTTTTCTGTGGTTTCCTTGGATCACTTAGGCAAATACTGAGGCAGTAATATTCCACAAAAAATCTTTCACTCTCTTCTGTCTTCATTTCGTCCGTCTCATCTTTCTCACCCGAACCACTATCCACCCATTCCCACGATTCCTGAAAGCAGGCTGAAGAGGGCCTTCCGTCCTACCTTCCGGCATAGTCCGGTATGGATGGTAGTATGGATAGTATGGATGGCCTGCCCACCAACATTACTGGCTGGTGGGAATGAAACACCCAAAAGCTTTTTTTTTTTTTTAACTGAAATTACCACTCTGTATATAATAGGTGCCCGTTTCAATCAATCATTTCCATAAAACGAAATTCGTTAAATGAGAAAGCGGTTACAAAAGTTGTAATGAAGACCGGGAAAAATGCTAGGGTATGTATATTGTATCAAATGGGGCTTATGTCACAAGCAACAAAATAAAAATTAACGATAAAATCAAAATTGTATTTTTTATTTAACAATGTGAGGTACTTTTTTTACAGAGCAGTATGTTTCTGTTTATAAGAAAACATTAGAGAATACAATTTACACTCATTTATATTGTGACAGAAAGAAGGTTGCAATGAAGCGAAAAATAATAAACTAATGTTATATTTTTTTACATATTCACGTAGAAATGTAGATATGATAAAAATTATGCGCAAGCCGCACTGCAACGTCTTTTACAAGAACTGTTTCTAGCATTTTGGCATCTCTTCATTGCAGTACCTACTGAAACTACAAATACAATGTCTAATTGTGATCCAAAGTGTAAGTTTATTATCTAATTACTCCAAATCTAATGCATTGCTTCGAAGATACAAACCCTCAGTGTTATCTATTGACGCAACGGTGCCTTTACAATTATAGGATACGTTGAGCGAACCTAGAAATTCGAATTTTGGCACAAATGTTGAACTCATTGGAGCCATGAAACCAACCTCCACCCCTATACGCGCCTACGTAATACTTGAATGATCTCTTTGCCAACATTCAGTGAACCAGAAATCTTAAAGGTAAGTTTACGTCCTACAGAAACTTGAGATAGACGCTTAGAAAAGTTCCAACTTACGGGTTATGTAACTCACAGATCATTTTTCGTTTGTTCTGATAGAATGATGTAATAAAACAAACCTTCAATGCAATTGTAAATGACCTTACAAACGCGGTAAATAAAATTCAAAAATATTTACCTAATTCATTCATTTTGAAATTCAAATAAATAGAAATAGTTTCATACACACCAGATCTAAGATGAGCCAAGCTGGATTTCTATTGTAAAACACTTTAAAAACTTTTTGGGGTTTCATTCCCCGAGCTCTACCCTCCAGTCTGTGCCGGATTCATGGGAATGGGTGGATGGCGATTGGGGTAAGAATGATGGAACGGACGAAATCAAGACAGAAGGGAATGAAAGATTATTCGTAGAATATTACTGCCCCGGCAATTGTTTAAATAATCCAAGCGAACAGCAGAATAAAATGCATCTTTTCCAAAAATTTCCTTGAAAACGTGAGGATAACAGAATTCAAAGCACGACGCTACACACTGTCATTTTGACATTGGAAGAGATGTATACAATTGGAATTCATATCAGTCAATCTATATACGAGGGTGGATTGATAAGTTTCCGGCCTGACCAAGAAAAACAAGGTTTTTAAAAATTTTTTTTTTTTATTTCTCAACATAATCTCCTCCAAGGCTGATACATTTCTCATAGCGGTGTTCCAGTCTATTAATGCCATCTCTATAGACTGATTCGTCAAGCTCCTCAAAATA